CAGAACAGCAATCACATTAAGATCCACATAAAGGGATCCACATAAAGGCGCTAACTCAAGAACTCACTCAGTGTCGTGTTAAAGATCCCTGCCCTATCTTCTTTAATCCTCACAACAAAAATATAAATCCATTATCATGTACTGAAGCTAAAGAGGCTTAATATTAAAATAAAGTGGAGTGAACCCTACTGGTAATTAGGAAAGCTTCAAACTTCTAATCCGTATTTTGTTTTGTATCAGGCACTTGAAAATTCTCCTAATGAGAGAATGGTTGAAAGATTAGCCTCACTTATAGGATTCCCCTTGTTTATTCTTCTAGTCTAGCTTGCATCTCTTGAATTTTCATGGCACAGGCAATAATATACAGAATTAAAGATATACAATCATGTAGACTAGATTGCCAAGGCAATTCACAGGGAATAATAAAGGTATCTTTATTATACAAGAATGTTCATTTACCTTCACATTTCAGAGTTGAACCCGGGAAACAAATATAATAGGGATTTTATTTTTTTCTAATTCATTTTAGTTTATTTCTTTTTAAGATTTCTTTCTTTTTTTTTTTTTTTTTTTTTTTGTGCATACAGAACTGGAGTACAGGCCAGAGGTGCAGGGGCAGTGAGAGAATTCACCAGAGACAGAGTGGGAAGCAGAATAGGCTAACTGATGAAGTACACTGCTGAGGGGAGCAGTGGGTGTGTCAGGAGAGTCTGGCATCACCTCAGGCACAGGCGGGGATAGAACTCATGCTGAAGTGGCCTTAGCTTCTTAGTTCTGTTTTTAGTGGAGGTAATATTAGGCTAGCCCATCAGGTATTACCACCAGCATGCACCACTAACTCACTGTCCACCATCATAAACCACTGTGCTGCTTTCCCTCTGTGTTCTTACCTTTCTCCCAGCCTTTCCTCCTTGGTGCTTCAGTTCTATGGTCACTATGAAAGGTTAGTTTTAAAGCCTATCTTTGTCTTACTATTGGTTTAGTTACTTTATGATATGGGATTACCCCCTTCTGTGGTTAAATGCATAAGTGTGTTTATAGGCAGTTGTATGGTTCTTGGAATGAATATACATATAAAGTATACCATAAAGCTTAAACTCTCTGGAAGAAACTCACATAGTCAGTGAAAGGATGCAAATTGTCTTATTTCTCAGTAACCATGCTAATCTAGGTCTTTAGCAGGCAATTCCACAAATAATTTCTGAAATAACTAGAGAGAAAGTAATCATACAAAAGGACAAATATACTGGTTTAAAAAGCATGTCATATTTTGTTTTTCTATACACAAGCCAATTTAAGCCTTCACTGGAGGTTGCAATCAAATATTTTAAATTTGTTTTTACCAAATATCTTTAAGGGAAGAAATTGCATTAGGTAAGTTAAATAGTTTTTAAACATGATTAATTTCTCTGAACTTTTTTTGATAGGAACTGAGGGCAATGAGAAGAAAGAATCTGGGATCATATCAAATTCCACAATTGGTCCTTCTGGAAATCGCAACAGCTGGAGTCTTTCATTTGCATAGCCCTGTTCTTGATTTAATTTTTTCAAGTAGATGAAATGCTTATGAAATTCACTGGGCTCATAACCCTAGAGACTTGAATCATTCAGCCAGGAAATAGTAACTCAAGGCAGGTCAGGCTTCTTGTAGCAGCCAAGGTTTGGGGGCATCTGGATCTATTTCATTGTTAGAATGCTTCTACCCAACAAAGATGAGCCTTGGGTTTTTATCAAGTTAATTGCTCCAGAGGTCCCTGGAGGGGATGATGGGCACACTTGTGAGGATTCTTGAAGCAAACAATAATTTGAAAAATGTTAACATTTAGAGAGCAAGAATAAAATAGTTTTGAAATTAACCCACTGCTATTACCCTAACCAAACGCATCATTACTTGTCTTGCTTCTGCTTTGCTCTCTTACAGTTAAACTCAATACAGAAATGAAAGTGATCATTTTAAAACGAACACTATAAATCATGTTTCTGCAAGACCTTCCAAACAGTTTCCTGATTTGTCCCTAGCAAAAGTCAAAGTTTTTAACAATGAAACACAAGGCTGACATCAGCTAACTGCATATACATGCCAGACATTGTGCAAACTGTATTACATGTATAGCTTATCTCCTCTCCCCAATGGCCCTGTGCTAACAGCACTGCACTTCTCTTCATGTTATGTGTGGGGAAACTGAGACATGGGAGGTTAAGTATGTGCCAAGAGCAAACAATAAACAAGTCACCCATGACTTGTGGCTGCCCTCTTCTGACTCCCTGCCCTCCGGGAGCTGGGAGATATCATCCCTCACCATGTTCCCTTTGTCACTCTGCCCCCACCACTGTGGCACTTTGCTGTTTTGGGAACACAGTGAGCAGAAACTTAGCATTTCTTCCCAGAATGCTCTTCTGCCAGTTAGCAACACGGGTAGCTCTGAAGGTCTGTTCAAATGTGAGAGCCTCTGCTATGTAAAACAGCACCCTCTCTGCCACCCCATGCTCCGTCTCACTGCAGCACTTATTACCATCTGTCTTGCTATATCTTTACTTGTCTATTTTCTCTCCTAGACTAGAAGACTTACAAGGACAGAAATTGGGTTTCATTTACTACATCTCCAGATACTGGAACAGTGCTTAGTGCATACAGAATCAGCATATGCCCAATGACAGAATGGTATTCATGTTAATAACAGTGAGGCTGAAGTCAGCTAACTGCCTATACGTGCCAGACATTGTGCAAACTGTATTACATGTATGCTCGTCTCCTCTCCCCACTGGCCCTGTGCTAACAGCGCTGAAATTTTCTTCATGTTATGTATGGGGAAACTGAGACATGAGAGGTTAAATGTTTCAAGAGCATACAATAAACAAGTAAATTAACACACTGGAGGTTTTGGGGACCCTTAACTAGCTCACTTCCTTCTGCTTATACTTGGGAAAACCATGTTCAGGTGAGCTGCTAGTGAGAAGACGTCAGGGACCTCATCGTGGTGTGCACTTCCTAGGTCTTGCCAGCTGCAGGAACACTAAAGCCTAGCTCTTTCCAATGATGTCATATTGTGCTGTCTTTATCTCACAGGAAACCACAGAGCTAGCACAACGCTTAGCACTCAGTAAGCACTCATCAATAATTTGTGGAAAAGAATGAGATGACAATTTTTAAGGCCAAGTCTCATTTCAGGTTACTAGTGGGCTTGGCAGTAAATCAACCCGAACATCAAAGAACATGAGAATTCTGTCTAAGACAACCTTTCAAATATGCTTCTCTAGAGCAGCTAGTGCTGTTTGTGAGCACATCCCCATGAACAAGATGGATGCATGCTTTAGCCTGAGTTCACTAGATGCAAAATGTGTGTGTGTTGTAGTGCAGCTGTACTGGTTGCTAGGACGAAGGGCATGAGAGTGGGGTGTCAGCAGTTGTGGTGGCAAGTATGTGGAGTCACAGGCAATGAAGGGAGGGCTCCATGTAGTGTGATGGCCTAGTCCCCTTGCACCATGTCTGAATACTTACATAGACATGTTTAAAAAATGCTTTCTAGGCCCTCCCTGGTGGCGCAGCGGGTTAAAGCACAGCACTGAGAATCTAAAGCTGCTTCCACATGAGTTCGATTCCTGCCTGCCCCGGAGGTGACCACATGGCGTGGCAGACCTCTCCTGACCCGCCCGCTGCTCCCC